TATTCGATAAAGATTTTTTTTCCCTCAGAGTTATTCGTTAATGTCTCACAATGTACTTAACTATCATATATGCATTCATATCCTTTGCAAATGATACTCAACTATATGAACGTCCTATACGATCACCTTGAAATTTATTGAACTATATAATACTAATTAATTGTTTATCATAGAAATTTAGGGTGAAAGGAAACGTTTGTACTTCACTTTGTCTCAAGTTATGGCAGGTGAACTATTTAAAACTTTTTCCAAAATTTCTCCAATATGGCATCTATAAGTATCATTTTAGAAGCATGGCTGTCTTACACTTGAGTAAAATACGATTAACTACTTTACTATAAAACAAAAACTTCATCCAGTTGTAAAGACATTAGGTTCATTGGAAAAGCCGAAAAGATGTGATGTGATGTGATGAATTTAATTACGGCAAAGCACACGAGGGCTATCTGCCTAAGGGGAGGGGTGCCTTCGTGGAGGACTTTCTAAGGGAAACTGGCTCGTATACACGTTACACATGGGGAAAACCACGAAAACACCCATGCAGCCAGCCCGTTTGCGGGATTCGAACCTCGGACCGAACTACCAGTGTTCAGCGACTTTACCGCTCGGCCGCTGGTGGGCCCTCCGAAAAGATGAAAAATAGCAAACGCCTTCGCCAGGAATCGAACCACGGACCTCTGGAATACCGGCCCAGCATGCAAACCACCACACCACGAAGGCACGCCAGGAAGGAGAGAGAAATACCTTATGTACTCCCCCTTTTAAAGGGCGACTGGGGTTTCTAGGGGGCCCAATTGCCAAATCCTGGGTGAGGAGAATCATCATCCAACACCCTCTTAGTTCGGGCGCCACTGTAAGGACATTAGGAATTTATTTGTAAGTAGGCAAGAGGAAAAATAAGCAACTCTTTGCCGGGAATCGAACCACGGACCTGTGAAATACCGGCTCAGCGTGCAGAACCACTATACCACGAAGGCTAGCAAGGCGGGAGAAATACCTTATACAGTAAAAATAATAATTTACATTACGCAAAAGAGTTAAAAATCCAAGCTATCGAAACGCTTTGTTACTGTTGCTTCAAAGCTCTGAAGTACTTACTAGAACAATTTAACACAAATACTTGACTAAAGCACAATAAAAATCATGGAATTCTATAAGCTGTTACTTTTGCACAATTACGGTTGCCCAGTAAGAAGCGAACATTTCAGAACAGGTGACAGCTATTGGATTTTACTCGATAGAAATTTTTACCTTGTAGAGACATTAGAATTTTTTTCGAATCCAAGAAGCTAAGTAAATCCGTTGGAGATTAAGGGACCCAAACGACGGATTATCTATCATCCACCACCATTTTAGTTCGGGCGCCACTTGTGGGGTCATTAGAATTTTTCCGGTTAATTTCCTTTCTTTGTGATACGTAAAATAATCCTCGTATCAATGAGCATAACGAACAAATATTTTAATTAAATTTTTTTTTCATGTTACTGAAACGCATTTTCACTACAGAAAATGCGTTTCAGTAACATGAAGTTTAACAGTACTTTTTCATAAATTTATCATTTTTAGTATTTTTTCAAACACATTCATGCAAAAGATTAATTCCGAAGACAAAATACATGCTTTTTTTTACATTAAAAATGATGGATATCAAGAGATAGACTAGGTATTTTCTAGGTAGACAAGATATCTTTACATATAACGTGATTATCTCGTATTTGGTATCATATCAAAATAGTCGAAAATTAAAACAAATAATAATTTCCTTACCTATCACTGATAGCAGAAAAATACATTAGCTATTAAATTGAAATGTTAAAACAGTTTTCGTTCATAACTTGTTACGTTACGATCAAGATAAGTTACTTAACCATGCTTCATTAATAATTATGAAAATAATAGATTTATTAAATATGAATGAAAAATAAAATAAATCAACATACTTTAAGACAACTTCTCCTTTAATTAAATAAATAAATAAAATGCTTTACCTCTTGATAATTTTAAGTATTCGAACTATGGTCTATGGCACATATTTGCCCATAGATAACGGTCTAAAGATTAGTTTTCTGTTCTGTGAGCAGTTACAGAAATGAATGTAATATAGATAATTTACCCACAACTCAGCAACGTTTCTTTGCTATCAAGAATTAAAAAAATAGGATAAGATAGGTAAAATCACATTACTCACAAATTAAACCACACATCCGTTTCAGACTAACGTTGATTATTGCCATAGATAAAATACTAAGAATATCACGGCTTATTTGTTTCATGAGAGAAGTAGAAATTAAGAAATCTACATCTAATTTCAATTTTAATTTATACGTGTGTGCGTACATCTTTCTAAATAAATTCAAATAAATACATTTTCATATTTTAATATCTCATTTTCACTATTAAATGTTCCACAATACAAATTCAACTCAGCACAAATTGCTCTACAATGCGAAGATCTCTCAAGTGAACCAATTATAATTGCCATTAAGATAAAAAAAGCGCATAAAATTCCGTTTTCATTTCATAAACCACTTGACCGTCACGTTTTTTCTGTCCCGGAGGCATCCGCTAGAAACAGTTTTTGATTTTTATCCTTTTAACCCCGACTTTCAGTGACCTAGGAAAAAGGGGGATCGCTCCGGGCCCTTAAAGAAGATTGTCTGACCTCCGATGGATTCCATAAACCAAGGGCAAAGAAGGATTTCTAACATAAAGGTCATTACCACGTTGCGCAAGCAGTTTTCGATCGCATCTGGTTCTTCCGCAGAGCATCAAAGAGTTTAGACACAGCAGGAATGACTGGAAAATGTTAAGGTACAACATTCCTATTTGTTTATTTTAGCCGCCAAAAGAGGAAATTGTTAATAATGAGGGTTAATTGCGGTTTATCTTGTGCGATACTTATCAATTATACTAGCAGGGGATAAATTCCTTAAATTGCTCCGTTCCATGACATTTTAGGGACAGAAAGTGCGACTGCGATTTCGAAAACAAAATTCAAGTGAGGGGATGTTGTCGTTTGCCGTTTAGTTTTACTTTATTTTTATTTATTTATTTTGACAGAAGCGTCATTAACACTGTCTGTGTCATACAGGAAAGAAAAACTAATCTCTGCTTTGCCATAAACAAAGCCTTTTTAACTTCCAAAAAGAAATGAATTTGTTAAAAATTTCCAACGCGATTTTGTCAAAACAATAAGCAATTTTTATTTCAGTAGCTTCGTTTAAGCACTAAAATAAGCGAAATTAAACTATCAGTGCCTTTAAATGGATTACATTTGAAAACACTTTGAAAAAGAGACAGCGAGTCAATTTAAAACACTTGTTTTCAATTAAATAAGCTATCCTTAGGCAATACAAATATCAATAAAAAATACATTTAAAAGTCAGAAAATAAAAAGTTTCCATGAATAATACTTTTAAATCAAAACATTCAAAATAGTTTTTTTATTGAACTGAAATTAAAACTAAAACTGTGGCATCGGAAATGGATGAATCATTGGCATATTTGGTAATATCATTCAAACTATATCAGTACATCGTTTATCTGGGCATCGAAGTGAATTAGTATGCTTAATGATATTTATCAAGGCACTAAGATTATTAACTTCACCATTTGAACAGCAGCTACAATGTAGAAGAGTTTTATTATTGTCTATAAATATAAATACGGTAATTTTATATTTTCACATGCTTTGGAACAAAAATGAAAGAAAAAAGACTGCAGTTTGGATGATAACATTATAACAATCTCGGCTTTCTTTGTTAATATAATAAAGTAATTTTAATTATAAATTTAGTTATTTATAAATGTAATTTTTATTATAGTTAAAACACAGTTAAAAATATTTATTATCTTTATAAGTAACATTAAAAATGTAGAATTTAAAATTATTTTCAATAACCATTTGATATATCACCACAACATGTTATTAACACTAATTTATTATTGTTAATTTATTATTATTATTAATGTCACCGTCCGAACAGCGGATACCATGTAGAAGTTTCATTATTATCTATAAACACCCATTCGGTAATTTTATATTCTTTTGATACCTTGAGACAAAAAGAAAAGAAAGGAGACTGCAGGGCGGATGATAAACATTATGACAATCTCCACTTTCGTTACTAAAATATAAAAAACACAACTAACTGATCTTAACTATTTATTTAATTATTTGTACGTATTATTTTCATTATATTTAAAACATAGTATATTATCTTTATGAATAATATTAAAAATGTAGAATATAAACTTGTTTGAAATATCCCCAGAAAACTGTTATAACACTAATTTTTTTTATTATTATTGTCTAATTTACTTTCATTAATCTAAATGCATAGAGTTATATTGTAGAGTCAATGGGATTTCTGAAGGGGGAAACACGAAAAATGAGCAATGCCCTCACCGGGACTCGGACCTGGACCTCTCGGATACGTTCCGAGTGTGCTACCGTAACACCACGAAGGCATGCAGAAATGAGGGAGAAAACACCTTATAAAATGTCAATATTGGAAAGAATTTTAATGAAAACATTTTAAGAGAATTCAAAATATAAACAGTTGAAATAGAAGTATATTCTCCTAAGGAACTCTTTCTGAAAGCATTGGCAACGTGTATATATGTATTAGAAATAGAAATTCAAAATTTACTTTGTCAGCATATCTGAAAGTAAATTATTACTAAATAAACAAGCAACCATTAGATATATATTTCGTAGATTCAATTAATTTTGAGATGCTTCAGAGAATTTATAATATATTATGGAAATCGTAAAAAATGGGAAATTGAGTTTCTTTTTTGAGTTTCTAAATTCTCTCAAACATTTAGCATTACAATTACTACTCTTATAAATTAGATTATTATTAACTTTTTGATTCATTTAATGCTTAAAATATTATGTAAACAAAAATAATCTTACATTTGCTTTTAAATCATTCAAGGAATTCTTATTATTTAAAATAAAACTTTAATTTTAAAGAAAATATATATTCACTCACCTGTTAGAACCACAGTTATATATTAGGCTTGCTAAAAGTTTACGATGAAATCTCCAATTATTATAAAATCAAAAATGTGCCTCCTGTAAGAAAAACAAATAGTAAAATAAAAATAAACATGAAGAAAAATATGCGAATTAATTGCAATGCATAATGACAGATTAAAACCAGTAATAACAGATCTTATGCTAATAAGATTTAAGTTGGATATCGATACACTTCTGAAACAAACTGAAATCTTATTAGTTTACTGATGTCAACACCAGATTTTATTACCATTTCTGTAATTCAAAAACTATGAGAATTGTAAGTGGTGATTTAATGGAAATTATAACAGCTATTAGTGTTCCATATTAATTAAAAATTAATATTGAGAATTTTTTAATTATGGACAAAATCCTACTATTTTCAGTCCAGTAGTCAGTAGTAGTATTTCATCCTACTACTTTTAAATATTTACACTTAAATCATAAATTTTAAAGAATCTAAAAATGTGTCTCTTCTGTTTTTCATACTTTCAGAGAGCCTAAATTTCTCTTTAGAATTTTCCGAAACTTTCAAGTAAAATAGCAAGTTAAGGGGCATTAAAATATTAAAAATACTTAATCAGTTTTCCTGACTTTTAGCGAATATCTACCAGTTAAGTGCTATTTTTATTAATACGTTATAATTCGACTTTGTGGATAAATTTGTTCCTAAATTTGGATCCCTAAAAATGGACCCATTCGCTGCTGAAAATCTGAATCAAAATATTACGCACTGGTCTCATCGAATTTAAAAATAACTTTTACATGTTTTTATATTATTGAAAAAGCTCAAATTTAAATGTCCCTGTAAATATTTAACTTATAGTATTTTGAGAAAAATATGTCACCCTGACGGGAAAGTGTTTAGTCATTCTGATTACCGTAGTGAAAGTCCCGGGTTCGAATCCCGGAGAAGGAAGGCTTGGACGTAAATTGTCTGTGCCCTTCTCGTAAGAGGCGACGGTGGTCCATCTATTAGATGCTCTCATAATAAAATGACAACCGCTTTGGCCAAATGCCCACCATGGAGGCACTGCTTTGAAGCTACGGTCACCAGATGGGGTGTTCTTTGTTTACATTCAGAAGCTCGCTTGACAGTGCTCTGATAGTATTTCGACACACGACTGTTCCATACAAATCGAAAAACGGGATACTTTCGCATGAAAGAAACATTCATAGTGCAATTTGTATAGTTATTTGCATTTCGTATGAATAATAGAAATTTGTATAGTTTAGTGACATTTACGCAAAAATCACATCTTGGTTATTTTTCGGTAACTAACAACAGCGATTTTGATTCTGAATTTGTTTATAAAATTCTAAGCTGCTGAATTACAAAAATATAGATTTTAGCAAAAATGCTATGCTTAAAAAATGAAAAATACCTTACGGTACCTTTAAAATTGTATACATCTTTCGATACCCTTGATAGAGTAGTATTCGCTACTTTTATGTGCCAAACGTCAAAATGTTTTAAATAAAAAAATTTCTTCACATCCGCATATTATTGTAACATGTACTTTTTAAAATTTTTTAGAGGAGAGGCTTTACTGTTGCTGATCGCATCTGAAGGCAGATAACCTCCTTACTGTTGTAACAGATTTTTCGCAGAGGCTGTTTCATTTTGGAGAAGATGGATACTCACATGGACTCATATCGGGCAAGTATGGTGAGTGTTCCAGTACCTCCTGTTACTCTCATTGCAGCGGTACGTGAAAACGCTCGCTTTATTGACATCGCGCATTGTCGCGAAGGATGATTGGTTTTTGTCACTAATAAGTATCATCACTTTCTCCAGGACGCAGGACAAAGCTGATGTGTCTGGCACCAAGCTCAATCTTGCCACGAGCATCTTGGCAACGAGCTCCATCACCCATCTTGCATGAGAACCGAGGCTGTCATAATGCAGACGCTCTCACGGATCTCTTGCGACGGTGGCAATGAAGGGGAACTGGAACTCCTTCCATGATTGCCCGATATGTGTCCATGTGACTACCTCTCATCAAAATGAAACGGAAAGAAAAGTCACTACTTTCAGAGATCGATTACAAAAGAGAAGAGGCCATCCTATAGGGCCGTCGTTGCGAGATATGGACAGAAATAGATGTGCTGATGACGTACTAAAGCCTTAAAGTAATCTGCCCGAAAGCGATAAATTTGGCAGGTTATTACATTGAAGGATTGTAAGTTTTTTCACCTACAGTAATACTGCCTTAAGAATTATTGGCTTATTGCTGTCGTTTTGTAACCAGTCCCTGAACTAGTAAAATAATATGGACAGAGCCAGTATAAAGAAAAATCAGTATTTTTTCAATAGATACGTTTGAAAATAAATATAATAACAATACAAAATCATAAAATTTGATTGTATAACCCTTGATATCCATTGGATCACTCTACGTTTTATATATTTCTTTACGGGTCGCCAAGCTAGATCGAAATAAGTAACTTGTTCAATAAAGGATTCGTCAGTACATCTTTATTTGAAAGGACGTATCAAAAGCTTAAAAAAAATAAATATAATAAAATAAAATTTACAGTGGGTGTGGTTCAAATAACAATGACTGTGTCTGAATAGAGATCCAACAAACAAACAAAAATTCACCATATTTATAGCACAGAACGAATGTGATGTATTTTTTATGCAGCATAGTAGTACTTTTAGTCAAAGAACATGTTGGTTTTTCCTGTAACGGAGAAGACATTGTTTTCTCAAGAAAACTTTCCTTCTGTTATTTTGAGAAATTCTTCGAAATAACGCATCTGAAAATGAGTTATCATTCGCTTATTAAATTCACAATAGGTGTGATGCAATGCAAAGAATGTTTCCTCAGGCCAATTTACTTAATTGTGTTACCAACTAGAAAGGCGAAAAGCTAGCGCATAAGATGCTTTCCACGCTGAATATTGAACAATGAGTGTAGGCAGTCGACACGAATTACGGCGATTATCTTTAGTTTAAATCAGCTGCATTATTTGCTTGAAGAAATCCATGTAAACGGTCATAACATTTCTCACATTAATATTTTTTTGTAGGCCAGGAAAGTAATGAGTGAAAGTCGATCCTCAAAAATAGAGAAAGGTTCAATGTTTATTTAATTTTTGTAGAAATACATATCAAAGACTAGCTCTGCATTAATTATTAGGAGACAATCGAACAATCAAGTCGTACTGCCTTTATTAGCTCAAAAGGGGATTTTGCGTCTGTTCACTATAAACGGCGAATCACTTTTCAAATTGTTGCTACCAAATATTATGGTCCTGTATTATTTTTAAAGAAATTAAATAATGGAGAACTTGCATGTATGTTTCTAGCACTGTGGAAAAACGATGGTACCTAGAACCATCAAATTTTGAATAATGTAGTCCTCCATCCGAACATATGCACCTGGAAACCCGAATGTGGAATTGTTTTGTTATTTATTTCCTATTTTGTAAAACTTTAATGAGTTTTTGATTATCAAACTCAATGGCTTGAAAGTGAGCAGTAGCAACACTTTAAGGAATAAAACATTTTTATCTCCGCGCGAGACTGTTGCCGTTCGGAAAAAGTAAGATCTTTATCTTTCAGCCTTAATTTCTGATTTGTCTTTTACAGATCATCTTAAAAGTTTTTGACTCCCTTTCTTAATACATCCGAGAAATAGCAATGCAGACTAATTTCTGCATTATTATAGTAACTACACAGTATATGAAGTGATATAGTATAACAGTTTCAAACTGCATGCGGCCAAATTCACGATATGTAAACAGCTGATGGATCAGATAGTTTCTTAAATCAAATTCTTTTATTAAATAAAAAATATTTCAAATAAATTGTATATTTCGCTTACTAAGAACCTATCAAAACATGCATAAACAATAATAATAACGCAGAGAAAAAAAATCAAACTTATTTTTAGTCGTATTTTCTATCTGAAATCTAAAGTTTGGTACCTCAAGAAATTTTTGTGGGGTTGCAGTTCTTAATTCAAATATATTGACAACTAAATATTAAATTTTCAGACTGGCATTTGTTTCAAATAATCATAATATGTTTAATTGTTCAATAAATAATTTTAATTTATAGACTTTTATCTTATGTATTAATTTTTTTTCCGGCAAACAACTAAAGTTTGGTATATTTAATTCCACGAAAGCACTAGAGGGCTATCTAAGGGAAAGGATAGCTTTGTGAAGGACTTTCTAAGGGAAATTGGCTCGTATACATGTCACACATGGAGAAAAACCATGAAAACGCCCATGCATCCAGCCCGTTCGCTGGGAATCGAACTACCAGTGTTCAGCGACATTACCGCTCGCCCGCGGGTGGGTTGACGAGTAACTAAAAATGCGTACTGCGTATGTTTGTATGTAAACAATTAGAAACTCAATCATAAACTTCTTTATTTCTTACTGTAGCTTGATACTCGATGATATTTCGGTTCTGACAAAGTTTGCTGGAAAGAAATTACTGGAAATTATCTTCATTCCGGATTGTAGATGCTCATCAGTCAACTGGGTTCTTTTATTATTAATATTAACTCGGTGGTGGGGATGGTGTTCACATATAAATACATTCCCAAACCAAACGATTACTCGTAGTGCAAAAATTCCTAACCGAGTGCTTTTATTTTTTGATAAGTACGAATAGTAAAATATGTAATCTTTAGTCTTCAATTAAGATTTGAATCACACTGTAAATTAATTAGTTCCATTTATAGATTTTTCTAGTCTATTATTTAAGTTTGTTATTAATGGTAATGGAAAGTAATGTAAACTCGGACTTCATGAAATATATTCAAGAAAATATTTCCGACAACTGCATAATTAAAATGCCTCTATAAATTTGCACCAGCCTCTATAAATTTGCTCCGGGGATCGTATGTTTGCTCCGCAGGCATATTTCAAAGTGCACATGTGTATCGCCGCCGAGGGAGTAGCTTCTAAATTCGATCAATGGGCTTCCAGTAATGTTTCTGTCATTTCATAAGACCTTTTCCACGCTTTAAGCAATATAGTTGAAATTGTTTTGCCATGCAATTTCCTGTACGAGATAATTAAAGCATCGTGGATTT